GAGAAAGTCAATTGTAGGTTTCACAGCATAGAATGGTTTACCAAGCACATGGTTAAAGAGAACATCTATTGTAAGTTTCACACCATGGAATGGTTTAAGAGAACATCTATTGTAGTTTCACAGCATAGAATGGTTTACCAAGCACATGGTTTACGAGAACGTCAATTGTAGTTTCACAGCATAGAATGTTTTACAAAGCACATGGTTTAAAGAACGTCAATTGTAGCTTGACAGCATAGAATGGTTTAAGGAACATCTTTTGTAGGTTTCACAGTATGGAATGGTTTACCATGTACGTGGTTTAAGTGAACATCTATTGTAGGTTTCACAGCATAGAATGGTTTACAAAGCACATGGTTAAAGAGAACATCTATTGTAGGTTTCACAGCATAGAATGTTTCACAAAGCACATGGTTAAAGAGAACATCTATTGTAAGTTTCACATAATGGAATGGTTTAAGAGAACGTCAATTGTAGGTTTCACACCATAGAATGTTTCACAAAGCACATAGTTTAAGAGAACATCTATTGTAGGTTTCACAGCATAGAGTGTTTTACAAAGCACATGGTTAAAGAGAACGTCAATTGTAGGTTTCACAGCATAGAATAGTTTACCAAGCACATGGTTAAAGAGAACATCTATTGTAAGTTTCACACCATGGAATGGTTTAAGAGAACATTTATTGTAGGTTTCACAGCATAGAATGGTTTACCAAGCACATGGTTTAAGAGAACATCTATTGTAAGTTTCACATAATGGAATGGTTTAAGAGAACGTCAATTGTAGGTTTCACACCATAGAATGTTTCACAAAGCACATAGTTTAAGAGAACATCTATTGTAGGTTTCACAGCATAGAGTGTTTTACAAAGCACATGGTTAAAGAGAACGTCAATTGTAGGTTTCACAGCATAGAATAGTTTACCAAGCACATGGTTAAAGAGAACATCTATTGTAAGTTTCACACCATGGAATGGTTTAAGAGAACATTTATTGTAGGTTTCACAGCATAGAATGGTTTACCAAGCACATGGTTTAGAGAACGTCAATTGTAGGTTTCACAGCATAGAATGTTTTACAAAGCACATGGTTTAAAAGACGTCAATTGTAGCTTGACAGCATAGAATGGTTTAAGGGAACGTCTTTTGTAAGTTTCACAGTATGGAATGGTTTA